TTCCCAACGATTTCAACAAAACTTCCCTTTTTTTGGCAGGTAGTGTTTCTTATTGTCTTGCACACTTTTTACTTTATTTTTACATTCAGAATACTTTAAAAATTCCATTTACAAGACAATTGTTTATAATAAAATTCTATTCAATTGATAGACTCATAACGATTGAAAACAATGTTTGTTTGAGTTTGGGTTTGACTAATTCGTAAAAAAACCCCAAAAAACAAAACTAATTAAGACATGCGTGTCCGTCAACCTTAAGCAGTAGTTTTTGTCAATTTTATTTTTCAGTCTTTATGATGGTCGATACTTGAACTATCTCTTACTGTTACATCCCCGGGCAACGCTGGGCTCTACTGCTAGTATATTTATATAGGGAAAGAAAGAAATATATATATATATATATATATATATATATATATATATATATATATTTCACGGTATTGCTATAGATGTGTTTAATTTATTATGATTCAATTATTTATTTAATGAAAACCGAAAGGGTCCAGAAGGATTTTTCTTCATTTAATTGTTTTCTGAATGAATGTAATTGAAAATTTGCCCCAAGGCGTGAAATCTCCCAAAGTCCTTGATTTCTATTTGTTCTCGTATTTTAGGAAATCATTAAGACAAAAATATGTAAGATTATATTTCCTTAAATCATTGCTTAAATCCTATTCCGACATTCACTTATTTTCGCGCATCCATAACTGATTTATTCACTCGGAGCTTGAAACATGCAACATTAGATTGAACCGATATGTAGCTTCCCTGTGTCTTTTCTTTGAATATTTTTATGGCAATTGTTGTCAAGAGATTTCCTTGTTGTTAACTTTACGAACCTATGTACTAAATTGGCTGATAGATCTCATCATTTCACAGTTGGAACGGCTGGATGTAACCGTAAGTTCTATGCTAACAGTTTCTTCTGTCGCACTTGTCGCTTGTGCAACTCTTTCCCGCTCTCTTTCTTTACTGCTATCTTTGATCTTCAAATATTTAAATGCACCGTCAATCGGTATCTTCTGTCGTTTTTACTTCTGATTATTTTACTGTTCTCTTTGTTTTCCTTTGCACATATTCTTACACATTTAATTACTCTTGCGGCTTAGCGACTTTATTGCCATGCTTGGGATGAAATGATTTAAAATCCAAACGATCATTGGAAAAACAAAAGATTCATTCCAAAAATGTTTAAAACAAACGTGTACAAAAGAAAAGAAAAATGTCGAAAAAAAGCAAATACTTATGAATTACTATATAATATCTATCCTTTTCTGAGGCTATGAATAACTTCCTACAGATGAAAACAAACTTGAAAGCAACAAAAGCATCCTGAGAATACCATGGACTGAATATGTGAATAACGAATAAGTTTTAATTGGTAGACAAAAATGAAATGGGATATAAAACAAGGAAATGTCTTTATTTATCCTCTACATTTAGACCATCCGAAAGAAGAATAATTATTGAAGAACGTCTAAAAATCTCGAAGACCAGAACCTCGCCGTTCATCTCTCATCGGGCTTAGCACAGGTGACTCAATCTTGAAAGGGCTGGCTTATAAAATCAATATGGCTAAAGCCAAACTGGTAACGATCCACCGCAACCTGGAAACCCCATCATTGCAACAAGCATAATGGATGGGAGTTGTCATCGGGTGACTCCCTGTCTTCAAAGTCGAGATTTACTTGACCCCCCCCCATCGCCCAACTGAGTCAGGTAGTGACACAAGGTCAGTTTTTAACGTGGGGATCCGAGTGTTTTCACTCGGCCGCTAGTCCAAGCTGGTTTTAGCTTGTCATAGCTTGTCCAAGCTGGTCAGAGCCAGTCCAAGCTAGTCGTAGTCGTGATACCACCAGCACAGGGACGGATCCCTGGGCCAGCTAAGTATCTCCCTGTCTCCAAAGTCTATTGGGACTCACCAGATTTCAAGAAGAACGCATATATTCGATCTATTGCTATAGATGCTGGTAACGTGTTTCGTTCGTTTGTACCGGCCATGTAAGCATTTGACCTTCCTGTTATGCTCGATATTTACAAGAACTAAATCAGACCAAAAATGGAGTATTATTGTTGCTACCTAATGCCACTTGCTTGTCCTCGTATAGTTCAAATGCTTTACACTGCTTTATTTTCCACCTAAAAACCACTTCCCCTAAGGCGAAACGTTGCGAGCCTCTCCCTAATCTATCGCTATTTCTATGGCTTGTGTTCTGATGACAAGCTACGTCCCTTGGACCCTTCACTGCTGACCTTTACAGCTGGGACACACCATGCCACGTATTAAAGGGTGAATAATCACTAATTGCATTCGTATCCTATAGTAAGAAGTAAATACCACTAAGATTGCTTCTTCACAAGAAATGCGGTTTTATGGAAGAGACTCCCGATAGGATGTTTTCCCAGTCAACCCAATTCTTTTCTCTTCAATTCTACGGTTTACTTTTATCTTTTCAGGGTCAACATCGGGGCTATATTGATCCAGCAGTTCGCAATTTCCCAGTTGATTGTCTGGATCTACATATACATAATGAAGTCCGGACGATACAACGACCGAAACTTTGTCATGACAACAACAAAGATGAGGACAACATTCCGCTAGACCAGAGGGGATATGGGCTGTTGGGTTCTGGTCTTCAAGTTGGTTTCAGACGCCAAACACTGATAATATTAGCAAACGTGAAATCGTTATTTTTGTATTAGAATCTTCAAATATGTTTTTTTCTAAATATATTAATAGTTATTCTTTATAGGGCAATAGTTAATAACTTAATAAAAATTAGAAAGTCAATGTCGTGCCTTTGGTGAAATCTTACATGGTTATTCGTTCCCCATGCTGTAATATCTAAGTTTATTTTATTAAATCGTAGCTTCTATTAAGTTTTAATATGTGAGTCTATAAAGCATTCTCATTCGAGTCATTGAAGCATTTTGCACCAAGAGTTCCAATAATTAAGATTCAAGATAAAAATTTCCAAAAAAGAAACCTGATATTTGAATGAATGTCACATACGCCATATAAATTCAGAATATGAAATGAATGAACAATAATCCATTCAAATACCTCAGTAAATGGATCAGTTATAAGAAATTCAATATAGGAGATACAAAAATTAGAGGTAGTTTACACCAAATGCTGCAAATTGCTGCAAAGCGAAAACATCCTGAAATTTCAGGTCGTACTATGAAATAGCCTCGTCAGATAGATACTTTGATATAGATGTCAAGCATAGCACCAAACACGTTCGAAAATATCTATCTATCTATCTATCTAGCTATCTATCTATCTATCTATCTATCTATGTCTGTTCATATCTATCTATCTATCTATCTATCTATCTATCTATTTATTCCTATCTTTTTCGCTATCTGTATGTTTCGCCAACCATTTTTGGTTGGAAAACTATTTAGATTAGTATTCATTATACATTACTTAACGCACAACATTTGCTAGAAATGAAAAATCTTGAATTTTTCGCCGTTTTAGAAGGTAGACCCTTTTTTTCATAATATCGATGAAGTGTAAAATCGATCCCTGATCTTTTAAAATACTGACAGATTTATCTGGACTTAGCTGCACTGCGTACAAAATGACCATTTCCTTACTGATATGTCCCTTACATACTATCTTTCTTTCTCTGTTTAGTTCCGTCTCTCTCCTTCTCACTCTCTCTCTCTCACACACACACACACGCGTGAGCTAGAATTCTCTCGCCTTCTTTCTCCTTACACCTTGCTCCGATATCTCATCGTCTCTTGTCGCCGTTGTGACATCGGCTCTTTGTTAGTAGAACCTGAATTAAACCAAACCATCCGACTTGTCCCCGCAGTGTTTTATCTTCACCGCACTCATCCCACACCGTCTTGATTTCCTGAAGGAGGAAGAAATACTTAGCAAGACATCAGTTGAGTCTGACAAGGCGTATATCTTGTCAGCTCGAGGATTGTCATTAGAAAAAAGCTGCGTTTCAGTCAATTTATGAACTGCCCAGATTGGCCGCAAATAATATAGTTGTATTCAATACTTTGGAGTCGTGCTGGGTGGGACGTTCTGCCACGGAATCGAACAGTTTTTTTGTTTTTTTTTTGACTAAACAGCATAATTTTATCTCCTCGCTAGGGGATAAGCTCTCTCTATTTAACAGTGTGCAATTTACTGCTTTTCTATCGAACTTGCTCATATATTTTTCTCTGATCTCCATCAAAATTTGAATATGTATAGATCCTTCGTCTTTGATCATCTTATTTTCAATCGTAAACCAGAGTTAAGAGTTGAGAAGAGAATATATCAAAAAGCATATATTACCAAATATATATATATATATATATATATATATTACAAAACAAAGCAAAGATCATTAATTGTGTTTAGCCAGCAAACTATTGCACTGTTTAATTTTCATTGTCAGGTAATGGGAGGCTTTGATATATTACTATTACTATGTTTATTGAGTCTATCTATCTATCTATCTATCTATCTATCTGTCTATCTATCTATCTTAATCAGTTCATATCTATCTATCTATTTATATATATATATATATATATATATATATATATATATATATATATATATATATATATATATATATATATTTTAATCAGTCTCGTTGCCATGCATTGTACGTTTTTGATATCTTAATATCAGTTTTTTTTTATTTTTATCTATCAAAAATATGTTTATCTCTTTATCTCTCTATCTATCGACCTACCTAACTACTACTTATCGATCTAAGTCTGGTCGTATCTTTTAAACTAACTGCCATTCTATCTAGTCTGTTCATATCTATCTATCTATCTATCTATCTGCGTCTGTTCATATCTATCTATCTATCTATCTATCCATCTTTCTGAGTCTGTTCATATATATGCATCTATCTATCTGAGTCTGTTCATATCTATCTATCTATCTATCTATCTATCTATCTATCTATCTATCTATCTATCTATCTATCTATTCCTATCTTTTTCTCTGTCTGTATATTCCGCAAAACATTTTTGGTTGAAATATTTTTTTTAGATGAGTATTCATTAAACCTTACTTAACATACAGCATTTCTCTGAAATTAAATATCTTGAATCTTTTCGCCATTTTAGTAGGTGGACCCTTTTTTCGTAATATCGATGAAGTGTAAAATCGATCCCTGACTTTTTAAAGTACTGACAGAGTTATCTGGACTTAGATGCAATGCATTCAAAAGTGACCATTTCCTCACAAAAAAAAAAAGAATTATTTTAAATAAAGAACCAACGAACAGTTTCATTTTTAATTAATGAACACAAATTTACATCAATTAATAACAATTAAAATGTCTAGCAAATCTATCTGGTAAATCTTCAAACGAAAGATTAGGACGGAACCCGCATCAGTGCTGCTATTGAATTTGAGAAATCTATTTTCCTAAAGATTACTTCAAGAGAAAGAATTGATAAATTTTGACTGACATTAACAATAATAGCTTGGTCAATTCACGTAGAATGTTTCGTTACACGGAAACGTCTCATATATGCCGGCCTTCTTCGCAAGCTCCAGGGTTATGATATTACAAGTCGATTGTTTTATTTAATACAATCATTCCTGTCAAACCGTGAATTGAAGGTCGTTTTCAACGGATTCTCCTCCAGCTCCTATCCCATCATAGGCCCTACTTTTTTCCTTTTCTTAACAATCTTCCTGACGTCATAGGTTCCCAAGTAGGCATCTATGCGGACGACACTACTATTTGCTCCTGCCTCAAAAACAAATCTATCGTCGTTGACAAAACTAACCTGGCCGCTCGTCTTGAAATGGACCTCCAATCGGTTGTTAATTGGGGCAAGAATTGGCTGGTTAACTTTAACGCCTCAAAAACAAAACTGCTCTCTATTAATCACCACAGAGATCCTCCCCTGCCTCCTATTAGAATGCCTGACGCACAACTTCTCGAGAGCACCTCTCTGCGGCTGCTCGGTTTCACATTGTCTGCTGACCTGAGATGGAACAAATACATTGAGTCAATTGCTTCGTCCACCGCAAGTTGGCTCCCTGTGCCGCGCTAGGAAATTTTTCTCCCCGGAATCGATCCTTCAAATCAACAAATCAACCATTCGCCCCTGCATGGAATATTACTGCCATATATGGTCTGGAGCCCCTTCTGTTTGCCTCGGGGTTCTTGACAAGATCCAGAGACGGATATGCAATATAATTGGCCCCGATCTGGCATCTCGTCTGCAGTCGCTCTCTCACAGACGCACCGTCGCCTCTCTCTCCCTTTTTTACAAATACTTTCATGGTAATTGCTCCGATGAGCTGCTTTCGCTGGTTCCCAGGCTTCATGAATTCAAGCGGGCTACGAGGCTGGCGTACTGCTCTCACCCTTTCACTGTTGAAACTGTTAAATATAGCCATCTCTTCTTCTCCAATAGCTTCATACCTCGCACCTCTCACCTGTGGAACTATCTTCCCTTTTCCTGTTTCCCTGATGGCTATAATTTCCAACTATTCAAATGTAATGTCAATAGCTTTGATCTATCCACTATCCTTCTCTTCAAAATTTCTTCTATCACTCTTATCTGCTCTCGCTCCAAATCCTATGTAACTCCTTGCGTGCTAGCGGCTTCCAGCCTTGCTTGGGGTGAAATGCTTATATAAAAAAAATAACTGTTAGAGATGATGTGAACATATACTAAAGGTTAATCCCTGCCCTATGGCCAGATCGTGAAGGAAATCCTAACCCCGGACGCAGTAACTTCTCGAATGCTGAATATTTCCTTATAAGGAAACGGCTAATATTAGCATTGCCATTACCCTTGAGAATGCACCCATTAATCGTGACCGTAAACTGAACTGTGACGATGAATAGGCAAATGGATGACAGACGGTGTTCTCCTGATCAAATCATCGATTGAATGCCCTGCTCTTAGGAACGTTTCTTTCTAAACTCGTTGACTGATTCACCTAGCTTTCTTTTTCACAAGTTTGCCTGTTGTGTGAGATTTGTCATCCTTTTAATGCTCTTTCGCTTCATCGGTTTTCAGATGCCGACGACTTCAAAAGTGTTCTTTGTTCAGGAACTCAATTTTTCCGCCTTTTACAATCTTTCCCATACCATTCATTGCTCATAACACACCAATGAGGCCTCATTTATTGATTATCTAAGTTTCCACAACTCTCTTTACTAGTTCACCGTGAAGATTAAACGAAGCCGTCTCTACATTTTAAAACCAAATATCTTTCGACAAACGTACTGGAAATTTACATTTTGGGCGAATAATTCAAAAAATATTTAGACTATAAACGTTTTTTTTTTTTGTTTTTTTTTTGATATTTTTCTTTCGTAGGATTTCTTAATTTAGGCAATGTCTTATTAATTTCACTATTAGAAAAATAATTCAGAAACTATTTACATTATAAACGTCATTATCCAGAAATCTTTCTTTAGTAATTAAAACCAGGTGTTATTTATTTTACTGTTACCAAATAATTCAGATGGTATGTATATAAAGGTTTATTTTTAGAAATATTTTTTTTACTAGTGTTGTGATGTCTTCCACCTTCCGACTGTCTTATTAGTAATCGCACGACTACGCCATGACCATTTTGCCTCTGCCACTATGCCTCACAGAAATGAAGAGGTTTTTGACTTTCGTTGTTCTGTGACTTCTCCTAACAATAGTACCAAATCATCTCTCTCTCTCTCTCTCTCTCTCTCTCTCTTTCTCACCCCACTTCTTCTCTCCTCTCTCTCTCTCTCTCTTTCTCTCTCTCTCTTGAGGTGTGTACCTCGTTCTTTTCATTAGGAATCTAGATCTGGACTCCTCTTCATTTTGTTCTATCTCTCTTTCTTTCTCTTTCACTCGAAGTGTGTACCTGGTTCTTTTTATTGGGAATCTAGATCTGGACTTCCCTTAATCTCTCTCTCTCTCTCTCTCTCTCTCTCTCTTGGCGTTTGTTTCTTTTTGTTTTTTTTTTTTGGAGGTAAGTATATCTGGAATACTCCATAGTTTCTAGACAACTATGTTCATTTTCTACATCAGAAGCTCCCATGCTTTCTTCACATTCAGATTCCTCCTCCTATTCCATCTTGACTTCATCGTCGTCAAATCTAGGTCTTATTTGATAAAAATGATCCAGTAAATCTTGTCCGCTCTTTGCTATTATGGCCGTATCACGCCATTTTTGGGCAGTAAAGGATGCGTTTTCAGAACTTGATTCTCAGTCTCTTTTTATTATTATTATTATTATTATTTGTAGCAGATCTTTTCATTTATTAAATAGGACACTGTTATAGATCCAATTTGCCTTCTCATAAATTCTTGGAATTCCATTAGATTGTGGATGGTTTTGTGATGATTTACAATGGAGGCATTCCAATATGTTCTAACTCCAAATACAAAATTTTATCACAAAATTCTGGTATATTGTCAGAGACTAACGTTTTTGGCACCCCATTTCTCGAAAGTATTACTTGTGCCTTTCAGATCTGGCTTGCGAGATTGCCTTATTATACAGGAAACGGTTGATTACGCCTTCTTCCTTTGTCCACTCGTAAGCCCGTTCTGGGATCATGTCGCCGACTTAACGGTTTGTATCGATCCCGAACATCTCATGTCCATCGATCCGTCAACCCGGTAGTCTGAGGTGAAATGGTTGGTCTTTCTTACGCTACTAGATATAACAAGAATGGTGGTGTGGATGACGTGGATAGAGAAAATCTTATGGAAGGAACACTATTCTCATCGGGATTTTATTTTATTCTTTGGGCATCAGCTCAGAATGAAAATTAGATCTAATAGAAAGCGTTTTCTTTTGGCAGGTTTCAGCGAAAGGTGGGTGCAATTTGCGAGCCTGGTTCGTATGAATCTACTTTTTAGTCCCCTAAAGTTCCAATGGGGGGATTCCTGTCGGATCCTTCCCTGGTTAAGCTCGTCTTCTTTTATTCACCGAGTTAATTTTTCAAAAAATTACATCATGGATATTTTAGTAGGACCGAACTGAATATGTGGTATTGTGGTATGTTTTGGGATGAAGAAGGATTGGTTTTTTATTGACTGAGAAAATTGCTAGAATGAATGGGCCGCGAATTGGATTAGCTAAGTGTAGGATATTCAGTATTAACCAACCTTCCTTCACATCCCATTCGGCCTTGTGCACAAATTAAGTTCAAAGTTATTTATTACAATGAATTGGTGATATCCTTGAAACTTTAGTTAAAGTCGACGAGCAGAAGAGGGGGGATTAATTGTATGATATTACATCTCCAGAAAGATTTCAAAGGCTTCCCATTTAACGGCCCGTTTTTCCGGCATACAAGACGCACTTATTTAAAAATACCCTAAAAGATACGTGTGCGTCTTCCGAGACGAATGTAAGGCAACGCCCAGGCTCAAGTAAATTTGGACGGTAACCTAATTGGCTTGGCTGATAGGGACGTGGATTTGTATGGTGAGTCATTACACTATAATGTTAGCTATCTATCTAATTCAGATTTTATATTATGTAACTTACCTGTTACAAGTATTTCCAATACTATAACCCTTCCTGGAGCTGAGCCACAATCTTAAACATGATCTGTTTACTAGCAGCGCCGAGAGCCTTTCTGCGCTTGACTAGTATATCACTGCCATACGAACAAAATCGGACGAGTCATTAATGTAAACAATACGTTGCGCCAGTATGTTAGGAACGCATGGTGAATGTGTTGTTGTATGAGAATGACTTTTTTTTTTCTTAGAAATTTCTTTCTAATATTAGGATATTCGGTCCACCTGGCATTTTTTTGGTGTCAGCAATTGATTGATTGGTTGATTGATTGATTGATTGATTGATTGATTTATTGATTGATTTATTGATTGATTTATTGATTGATTGATTGATTCGTTTTTGTTTTTTACGGTTTATCAATCTTTTAACATTTTTCTAAAGCCAGACGATATTTTTAGATTGTAAGAAATTATTTTAGATAATAATGATTTAGTGATACATGTCTTACTAATTAACCCATATCTGGAGGAGAAGAGGTGGATTCATTCCTTTTCCATTATAACGAACCCAAATAGAACTGGAACTCAATTCCCTGAAAAAAATTCCAAGCCATTATTCATTTTAGCAACAGCACATCCAAGTTTACATCACGTACGATTCCCAAGCGGTCACCCATCTAGGTGTTGACCAGGCTTCACGTTGCTTTTTATTTATGTTTTTTAAAACGAAAAGCCATATGTGTTTTTAAGGAACAAGATACAATGACGTGAGAACTACGAATCAAACATGGCGGTTTCGAATAAATCCAAACGACATTAACTTATATAACCATAATTGCATATTTATAACTCCAGCAGCTACAACGTGTCTATAAACATATAAAAATGTGTCCTGTGCAAGTAATAAGAAACATCTTTCTCTTCCAAGACAAGTCTGCTTACAAAATGAATAGGAAATTCAGCGAAAGAAAACAAACACTGAATTTTGCTTGGCCTGCTCTGTCGCCCCCACCATATTAACCCAAATTTTTACCAACCGATTGTTACCTTATTTTTCAATCGCTGCAAAACGCTGTGACGAGAAAAACTTCAATTTTTTTACTCCTAACGGTTCCGTCTAAACTTTGAAATTTTATTTATTAATTATTTATTCATTTTTATTTCATTTTATTTTTTCTCCTTAATAGGCGTAGATATGTTCATCTATCGTCCAGTTCCCACTCCTCGCGGTTGAACAGGAGTAGGGGTTTATTCCTTACTCACTGTTTAATATTGGGTTACTGATTCCTTCTAAAGTTTTTTTTCATTCTCTTTCACTCCCGGTAGCTCCTTGGATCTTAGTGTCACTGTCGCCTTACTTGGGGTGAAATGAATTGAAAAAATATCAAAATATGCGAAATTTTACTCGGAATTTATCGGAGAGTTGCTTGATAATTGTCCAGATGACATTGAAAATAATTGTAAACATGTAATTGAATAAAATGTAATTCGACATTCTTTAAAAAATAAAACTAATGAACAAAAATGTAAATTATTTATGACACAAGCTAATAAAAATTTTGTTTATTTTATATCAATAAAGGATTCTCTTTAGACAGCTCCAACTCTAATTTTGAATGTAAAACAATTTATGCCACGACTTGGTAAACGACGTTATAAACAGCTATGGAAATCATGGACGCGGAGAAATGGGAACGAGGCTAATGTGGTTAAACTGCAGGCAAAATGACCTTCTGATCTTTTTTTAAATTTCTACATTGAGTATCACACCGAACATTGTCGAAAATTGATGAGGAAACAGAGAATGCTTTAGCACAACCCTCTCGGAATCTGATCCTCGCCACTCACTTAACATCGGTGTAACATTCTGCGACACTCAAGAGGATGTCAATCGGTCAAGAAGAGCTTCACTTACGTTCTGTTCCCGCAGAGCACGAGAATTGAGATGTTGGGAATGAGACAATGGTACTTGGAAAGCATTGCCATCTGCTGGCTGATTACAAGTCATTCCTTGGCCGCCGGCCATCTTGATTTATTTTGGCTTTCCACTCTGAATGGAAAGCCAAGCGTTTGCGAGAATGGATTTGCAGGCCAAGACCGGGCCAAGTTCGTGGCTAAGCCCAGTCAGAAGTATTTAATACAGTGAATTCGTTGAATACTTGAAATTTCAGTTAACTCGACAAGCTGAAGAGGCGGGGATTTAATTATATATTACATCTCCAACAATCATTGTTGCTAAGAAACACGCGAGAAGATTTTAAAGGATCCTAAATTTAACGCAAAACAACTAACGAATATTGGTGGTTTGCTTCATTTTCTACGGTTTATTAACACTTTGAAGGTTATTTAAAGCCAGGAAACATTTTTTTTTGTTTCTGGACATAATAAATATTTAGGGATACACGTTTTACTAACTAACTCATAGCTGGGAAGAAAGATGTGGATTTATACCTTTCACAAAGATATTAACGCATAAGTGAATACATCAAAACCCAAATAAAATTTGAACTCGTGTTATACTGGAATACACCCTCCCACCTATAATAAGTAGGAGTAGTAGCAGTCGCTAAGTTGGCTCAGTGGGTCGGTCTGAGTTCAGTCTGAAGTCGGACGACCGGCTGTTCGGTTGAACTCTCTGCCATAGGGCGGGGAGGAACCCGAACGAGGCTACGCCGAAGGGCGGAGTCTCTTTCGGGGAGGTAAACCGACCCTGAACCCGTTCATACGGGTTCAAAGGGCATATTTTTGGCCGAGCCCACGGACTCGGAGATCCCACGTTAAACCAGCCTTGTGCCACATAATGCCCCCGTGGAGGGGGTGACTAAATACTCTCAGTGAGTTGGTCAGTCAGTCGATGTCGGACGACCGTTAGTTGGATATTAAAGTATCAGCCACCACAACTATATTGCTGCGTCATTAACTATTATATCATGTTCCTAACGTTTTGTACGTCGAACCTATTTTATATACCGACTTAGTGAAATACAAGCCTCCACTGTGAAACTACCCTATAACAACTCGTCTCCCAGATCAACAATTCAGAGTCCTTATCCATTTTATAACTGGTACATCAAAGCTAAAAGCACCTAGTATTGCCAAGAGATACTGATCAGGCATAACTGTTTAGATGTTGTTAACTTCAGGAACCATCCGGGAAACATTAAAAAACATCTTCAATGAATAAGATTTTAAATTGGTTTTGTCCAGCGCTAAGCTTTATCTTATAGGAATATCATTAATGATAAAAGATTTTTACTTCTTCTATATGTAGTGTGCACCCAAAACGTTGGAGATCATGGCTCTCCACTCTTTCCTGATTTTTGTAGCTCCTAATAAATGTATATTTCTGTTATCTCTTCTAAATCCTGTTCTGCTTCTCATTTACATGAGCACATTCTTCTTCTATGTGCCCAGTCCCTTCAGAAAGTTGGCGTTCATAGCTCTCCACACTTTCCTGTTTTTTGTAGCTCTTAATAAATTTAGCTTTTTGTTATCTCTTCTAAATCCTGTTCTGCTTCCGATTTACATGAGCACATTCTTCTTCTATGTGCCTAGTCCCTTCAGGACGTTAGCGATCATGGCTCTCCACAATTTCCTGTCCTTTGTAGCTCTTAATAAATTTAGCTTTTTGTTGTCTCTCTTAAAATTTCTCCGACATCCATTTAGTCAAGCTCCGTAAGCTTACGGCGATATCACGTTAAAACACGTACGACCACCGAAGTTGAGCAACATTGAGCCTGGTCACTTCCTAGATAGGCGGGAGCCTGGAAATACCAGGTGATGTAAGTTTGGATGTGCGGGTGGTGTAATGGATAATGCCTCTGAATTTTTAGTCGTAGAGCCGAGTTCTAATTCCCGTTGGCTTCGTTATATTCACTTACGCGCAAACAGCCTTGAGGATCCAACTCCCCCAACAATGGGTTAATTAGTAATCACATGTATCTCTAAACCATTATTATCCAAAAAAACAAAATAGATCTTAAAATCTAAAAATATTTTCTGCTAAATAGCCCACAATGTGTTAAACCGTAAAAAAACAATCAATCAAATATGGATTACCTACACGGGATTGTCTTTTCAATTTGTATATATTCTCTGCAATATAAATGTATAGAAATTAACTTTGCCACAAATTTAGGGATTAGTTTATATGTTGATTATAACATAGAATTGATCCCCCACTTTATATCCACATTCTAATTTATTGATTGTTTATCAAATTTTGATAAGGTATGAATCCCCACTTTTCTCCCTAAATTATAAGACTTGTATTATTACCTCCCCCACCTCCAAAGTCGTACGAAGTCAAACTATTTTCTGACGTTAAATAACCTGTAAAAGGGTTGAAAATCTGTAGAAAACCAATCAATTATTGTCTATGTGTAGCGCAGTAGGCCTGAAAATCACCTTGAGAAACACCATCGGAATCTACCAACCTGTTCTTCACAGTACCAATTATTTATAAAAAGGGGGTTGGCAAAAATAGGTTTACAAATCTATTTGTGCTCCTTGTTGTGTAATAAATCAACTGATATCGTTCAATTACCACTTTACCTGCAAAATATTTATTATTATTATTATGATTATGATTATGATTATGATTGTTGTTGTTGTTGTTGTTGTTTGTGTGCTATGTTTCCTGACTTATATCCTATAAAGCTGGGTGCAAACTATGGTTCTTAGGCCCTATAGGAGAAATGTCATTTAATTGATAGCACTTTTCTTAGTATTTAGGATGTTGCTAGTGGGGCGATCTTTCGGGCAACTTCTATGTTGATGTTACCTGGGATACTGTTAGTAAAATTGTCCATTCCTTTTCCCACGAGGCCCAGTGCTCTGATTACTATTGGTACAGTCTCAAACTTCATTCTCCAAGTCCTTGTATTTGGACAATTATTATTATTATTATTATTATTATTATTATTTGTGGGTTATGTTTTCTTCTTTGTATTCTGTCGATCCGGGTCCAAACTTAGACCCTATAGGAGAATTGTCATTTAATTGATAGCACTTTTCATAGTGTATAAGATGTTCCCAGTAGGGTAATTTTCTTGGCAACTTGTATGTTGATGTTACCTGGAACACTATTAGTAAAACGCCCAGATTATTATTATTTTTATTTTCTTTGATTTCTGGCGTTTACACATTTCTTTCCGGGTCCCTCCCAGAGACCTAAGGTAAGAAATGTCATCATGACACTTTCCACTGACAAAAAAAAAAAAAAATTACATAGATAAAGCCCTTCGTAAAGTGTGGGCTGTACTTGTGAGAACAATTTTTTTTTATCTCTTTGAGGCATGGATTTCCAGGAATCCCTTCAATTAGTCTACTGCAATCTTTTCCAATCAGTCCTAGGGCTCCAACTACAACAGGGATTGTTGATGTTCCCATATGCCACATTTTCGAGATTTCTATTTCAAGGTCCTTGTATTTTGACAACTTCAAAGATACATTGCAGTCAGCAGGGACTGCCATGTCAATAAGGAGGCACCGTTTTTGTTTGTGGTCTTTAATAACAATGTCTGGCCGGTTGGCCTTGATTATTCTGTCAGTGTGTATTGTGTAGTCCCATAGAATTGTAACAGGTCCTATCTCCGTAACCGGGTCTGGGTGGTGTTCATATCAGTTTCTTTCAGTTTCCTTCCCGTAGAAGTTGCAGATTTTCCAGTGCAGATATTGGCCCACTCTGTCATGTCGGGTTTTATATTCAGTGGGTTCCAACACCGTGCAACCTGATACAAGATGATAAATCGTTTCTGGATACTTATCACAGAATCTGCATTTTGGGCTGACACAATATTTTAGTATATGTGCTTGATAATTCCTAGTTAGCAAGCATTGGTCCTGCGCAGCAAGGATAAAACCTTCAGTTTCCGCTTTCAACCCTGCACTGATGGGTACGGGTTTTGTCTACGTCAGCTTGTTTGGTACGGGCAGAGTATATTATTATTATTATTATTATTATTATTATGAAATGTAAAGAAATAGCGATATAGTAGCGAAAGGCTTTTGGCTTTGCGCCTGCGCGAAAAGAGTCAAAGTTTAATGAGTTTTTGGAATTTTTTTCTTATAATGTTCAACCAATACGAGGATTTTAGAAGGGATTATTTTTTCGGTTTTCCAAAATTTAATTCCTTGCAATTAAAAAAAAAACTCACTCCACGTTTTTTTACCTTCCAAAAGACGTTTGATGAAACTAATTAAATAGCAAAACACGTTATATTTATAAAGATTCTCCCATTATTTTTATATTCAGTCAAATTTAATTCATCTTTTCAATTCCTGTACACTTAGTAATAATCCCCGCCCCAGAAAATAACCCAAACTTTGAATCGAATTCAAAGATTGGATCAATTCAATTTGCGTCAGAAAGGTGTTGCTCTATCGTGATGGCAGTGTATACAGAGTTCACGCAAAGAGATATCAAAAAGTAAGACGTACTCGGTGTCACATTAGAAGGTCAAAGGCGCCAGCCACCTGAAGGATGGACTTCGAAGATGACCTCAAACACACAAACTGCATAATCGTGCTTTAAAAGTCGTCGACGGGTGTGACAAAATGAACAAGAACTGAAACGATTTGAGGATATATTCTCAGAAGACAACCGGATGGCAGAAAGTTATATGAATGATTGCAGTACGGGTTGGCTGATGGTTATATATATATATATATATATATATATATATATATATATATATATATATATATATATATATATATATATGTGTGTGTGTGTGTGTGTGTGTGTGTGTGTGTGTGTGTGTGTGTCCAAATGTAATGAGAACAAAAAGGATATAAACTCAAACGTTTCTGACATTAATTTAAAAGAGCTCAATGAAAATGTAGAGCAATAGTTATTTATTATAAGTTATTACTTATGAATAATATTATGTAATAACTTATAATAAACACACACACATACACACAAATATATGTTGACTTCAATGTTCACTTTACATATATATATATATATATATATATATATATATATATATATATATATATATATAAAAAATATAGTCTTAAGGTGTGCTATATTTATGGGATAAAGTGCTCAATATCAGAGATAGAGCGTGTGTAAATATAAAGTGAACATAAAGTCAACACTTAGGGCGGCAGTCTGTTTCATGCTATATGCAATCGTGGCCTGACGATTGCATATAGCATGAAACAGACTGTCGCCCTAAGTGTTGACTTATATTTATATATATATATATATATATATATATATATATATATATTACTGAATGTATGTAATATCCAACGTTGATTAATCTCAAGGAATAACTCTTTTTTGCATAAGATATTATAATTATACCAATTAATTTTCATTAGTTTCATGCTAGACGCAATCGTCAGGCCACGTGGTCTGACGATTGCGTCTAGCATGAAACTAATGAAGTCACTGGATCTAACCAACGCCTTTATCCCATGTGTCATTGAGGATATCTGTGTATCAATTTCATACACAGATGTCCTCAGTGACAGAACCCAAAGAGTGTGAGTTCAATACTCGGTTAAGGCAGTGGAGAACATTGAGAGGGAAATTAACAGGAGATAACTGATAACTGATATCCGTTAAAATATGGCAAGTGGAACTAGAACAGTCTACCCCATTGAGCGAAATGAAGGGTTCGACACTCATTTTTATAACTTGAAAAAAAATAATATTTTTTAAAAAAAAATGTACAATAAACAGGAATTTTTATTAACAAATAACTCGGCTAAAAACGCGTGATAATTTTGTACTAACCCATTATATTTTTCTTGACTTTGCACCAAGAATAATTACGCGAGAAAATTTTAAAGACACCTCTAAGATTTCTTGAGCATTAGCCAAAAATAGATACTGATGATTTCTGAATCTAAGTCTAATTGCTGTATACTGGCCTACATATAAGCTATAAATATTTTTACATCGTCAGGTCCACTTATCTCTTCAGCTTCTTCACTGTTTATTCGTCATATTGTACGAACACTGATAAGCGCTGCATCCGACTTCATTGAACGAATTGCGCGTGGCTTGGCGAGATTCTAGCCCGGAGCCAGAATCGCCTCCACCCGGAGATATATGTCCTAAAAAATTGTTGCAGAACATTTCTGAGGTTATGGCCACCAGATTTCTTCTGGGCCACAAACGCCCGTGGAACTTATTATGTCTCGAAGCCAAAAAGACTGGACAATTTATTGTCAGTCGCTATTCTGCCTAAGGTGATGCCATTGGATGGATGACCTGCGATAATTGTTTCTTAAAGAGTAAATCAGGAGATTCTGTACACAACATTATTATCATTATTTTATTTTGCTCTGTGTTTGAAATGTCAAAACCACTCTCTCTCACTTTCACTCTCTCTCTTTCTCCATATATATATATATATATATATATATATGAATTAAGTATGGGTTAGAACTTGTTGATAAAGAATGTTTTCTTATTAATCCGCCATTGTTCAGGGATTCTGCAGTCGCACTGGTAGAATGGGAAGACACTAAAATTTGACAGATTTTGTCCTCTGCATTCCTCTGTATGTTGGCTAAGAGGGATTTTTGGGGTGTTTCATAGGTACAAAACATAAGCCTCAACACGTGGAGATAGAAACAATTAAAAACTTTTTGAAAAGCTAAGCAAAACTGGTTAAAGTAAAAAAAAAATTTAAAAAAAGGAAAAAAACAAACATTTTTCTAAGAAAAATAACACTGAAAATCCATTTGTAGTAATAATGTTTTAATGCTTCTCTGTAAAAATTCATACATTATAAATAAATATTACTATATTAAATATTAGTTACCTTTTTTTCAATCCTCATTTTAGTTTATACAATAGGTTCTTGTACAGTATCTTTCTAACAATTTTTTATGATTATGTGACTATGTGCTATATCTGTAAATTCTAATAATGCCAATCGAGTAAAGAAGTTGGCATATTTAACTCATAATACATACATACATACATATATATATATATATATATATATATATATATATATATATATATATATATATATATATAGGTGAGATGGATAAATTGCCGTATTAATCAGGGGGAAATAAAAATAACACTGACATTTCATATAAAATATATTTACAAAAAACAACACGAAAATATCTTGAAATACTAAATACTAAATTCATTAAATAAAATTTCCATTGGCTTCAACCACGGCCTCCAGACGACATCAGTATCTCCTGCATCTCTTCTGGGCGGTCTCCTTGATTAAATTGGTGAATTCTGCCATAATCCTTGTCTACAGTTCATATTTGGTGTAACATGGAGTATTGTTGGTTCTTCGCTGAAAATAAAGCGGTTGCAATCTAGTGAGTTAGATGGCTAGATGTAGGGAGTGATGTGATCTAAGAAACTGTCTGACAGTCATGACTGGGTTCTCTTGCTTGTGTGTTATGGTTCAGACTACTGTTGCCAGATATAGGGTCTTCCAGCAGCCAACATCTTGATCGAGGGCAGCACTATCTCCTCAAGGTATGATTTAGGCTTCCGTCTGAGGACCTGTGTGATAATGAATGGAGATGTCACTAGTTATCACTCCGAACACATTCTTAATCACCATTAGAATCATCCAACTCTTGCCGATTCTTCTTCACTGTCCTCAGACTGACACACAAACACTCTGAAATGTTCGTATTGAAGCTTCAGGCGCGAATGCCAAGCAATGCAGCATACCGTTTCCAATCTCTGGCGGATTGAATTGTGTCTTGCATATGAGGAAACCCCGAGAGCCTAAAAAAAATAAATGTGCACATACAGAAAACTTGTGAAATTGTTCATGAACTGTACATTCCTCTAAATTTCATTTTTAAATTTGAACGAATAAATCTTTTTTGCTAAACAATAAAAACCTGTTTACCATCATTTGGCTTGATTATGTAATCACTCAGATATTTCTATCTGAAATGATATCAAATTCCTTGGGTGACCCAGTGGTTAGGACGTTGGCATTCTGACCATGAGATCTGGGTTCGAATCTCACCGTAGTCGATTTGCCAGGAAGGATAATTTCTGATGTTATCTATCAAGAGGGGTCGATCCCAGTGTGCGGACTCTTCCGAAAGTGCCTGAAACCATACCACGAGGGAAATTAGGTAGATAAAACCTTGGGGGCCGTCGATAGCTCTGCTAGCACGAAGTCACAAGTCATCGTGGCCGAGAGTTTGAACGTGCTAGTCTTGTTCAAATTGATGATCATGCTAGATAACACTCTCTTTCCCAGAAACTGTAACTAAAGTCTGCTTAGCATAGTTGCAGTATAAACCTCAGGTGGGCTCAGTGGGTGTTGAACAAACACAAATTCGCCTAAGCAAGCATCTGCAATAGGGATTGGCTAGCCGCACTTGTAGGCGCGTACCCTTGAATACAAGTGGCCAGCTATATTTATATTATTATTAATATTAAGAAGACTATTTTGCCAATATTTTCACCAAGAAACAGCGTCTGATTCGTGAGAAAGGCAGAGCGCTGGTTTAAAACTTGTGAAATTGTTGATGAAATCGACTTTCCTTTGAATCTCGCATTCAAATTTGGACAAATTTTTTTTTTTTAGCTTAGCAATAAGCCTGTTTAATTTCCTTTTTATTTCATCATTTCACCCCAGTGAAGGCGGAAAAGCCACTAGTCCGCAAGGGGGTGAGTAGAGGAAGTGAAAGTGAAAGTGAAAGTGAAAGTGAAAGAGAAAACTGTGAATTAGGAGGATTGAGGAAAGGACAAAATTTAAAGGGTTCTAAAAGACAGAATATGACCAATGATGTTGCATTCAAATGTTTGACGATTGTAGTTATCAGGAAAGCAAGTGAACAGAAGGGAGTTCCACATGTGAGAAGTACGAGAAAAGAAACTGTTGGAGTAAAATGTCAGTTGCATTAAGCTGTTTCAACACTAAAATGGTTGGACCTAATGGCCAATCTAGTAGCACGCTTAAATTCATGTATTCGGGGAACCAGGGATAAAGCTTGTTAGAGCAGTTGTCATGAAAATATTTGTAGAAAAGACAGAGGGAAGCAGCGCCTTGTAAGTGCGAAAGTGACTGCAGTCGAGATACCAAGTCAGGAGAGATTACATTACAGGTCTTTCTTTTTTCGCGAGACTATGTAATTGCAGAAATATTTACATCTGAAATATGATCATTTGTTTCCAGCAATCTGTATAAGTGTTGTAGCATATCTACGGACAATAATGGGTATGTTCCCATTCCCATAAATACAGTAGTAACTACTGTATGTTGGTCTGCAGTAGGAGATTCGTCTCCAACTGTGCAGGTCAAACTCTCTGTCTGCGTGCAGAGAGGATCCCCAGACAAGCCTGTGTTGAAGGGCAGATTCTCTTCTCGGAAAACAACTACTCGACCCAGTTTTATACGGGATCTACAGGGAATATGGGTTCGAATACCCCACATTAAATTCGGCCTTGTGCCACATCTGACCGCGTGGGGCGGTTGGTAGATATCCTGCAGTTGGAAATTCTTCTCCAGCTGTGCTGGTCAAACTCTTTGCTTCAGGATAGAGAGGATCCCTATGTCGAAGGGCAGAGTCTCGTCTCGAGAAACAGCTACCCACTCTAATTTATCAGGGGTCTACGGGGAATTTTTTGCCGAGCCTACGAGCTCGGATAACCCACATTGAATTCGGCCTTGCGTCATATCTGACCGCTTGGGTGGTTGGTAGATATCCTGCAGTTAGAGATTCGTCTCCAGTTGTTCTGGTTAAACTCTCTGCCTGCGGGCAGAGAGGATACCCAGACGGGGCTATATCGAAGGGCAGTATCCCGTCTCGAGAAATAGCTACCCGACTCCGCTTTATACGGGTCTACGTATTTTGTCCGAGAACACATTCAATTCAGCCTTGGGCTACATCTGACCGCGTGGGGGGTTGGTAGATATCCTGCAGTTAGAAATTCATTAGTGAAACTCACTTGACTCACTTCTAGCAGTTGACTATTTCTTATGCGCGCCACTGACGAATCTTATATGTATTGTTCTTGTTCTAACTATTATCTTTCATTACCAACCTTCGTGTGATTATTCCATTCAGTAACCTTCCTTAGGTTACAACAGTAAGAATGTTGTTATGGTCCTGTTCCTTGCACCGCGTTAGTTAGTCCAAGGTAGAACCAATAAAGAAATACCTCGAATACGGATATGGAATAACACAGATATATTAGAAACAGGAATATATACAGAAAAGAAGAAAGGGTTAGTACGAACAATCAGGTTTAGTAGTAATTGCCTGAACGCGACTCTGTTTCGGACTGCCTTTGACTCGACTGACTGACTCGATCTCTCTGACTGACTGACAGACTCCTGACTGACTTCACTCCAGACTTCAGACTGAACTCTAGACTTCGGGCTGAACTCCCTGCTTCCTCTTGAGGCGCAGTATTTATTACGTATGGAATAGTCCATTATGTTATTATGGGTAAGGTCCCACAACAAATGTGAAAAAATATAAAAAAGATAAAAGAAAACTGGGGATCATTATAAGGGAAGAAACAGAAGAAAAGGACTTTTAATTTTCTGTCTTAAATAATCCGCCAAAAACGGATAAATCGTTCAACATAAATCAATCATCATACATCTTTAAGAATTAATATTTGTCTAGAAACGGGACATTGTGAGAACTTTGTAAAGGAATATAACAAAAAATGGTCTTTATCATGAAAAATAAATAATGAAAAAAAAAACTCTAAATAGAATATTCTAATGAACTTATAATGGAAGTCTTATACACGAATAACGGATCGCTGACGACACTTGAGTTTGAACCTAGATCGCCAGTGAGCAAACACCGGCGATCCCATTATTAAATTAACTAGACAACGTGACCATAGACGAAACGCGTGTACAGGAAGTCACGTGGCGTCAAAATTGATCAACATTTCTAGTCAGTCCTCTATTGCTATTCGGATCGCTTTTTCTTTCTATCCTTTATTACTATATGAAACGCTATTCTCTACTCTATTCACTACACTATTTCTTTATTCAGATCACAATACGGGTTAATTTCCGAGCAAGTATTATCGAGCACGTACTA